AGAGAATTTTAGAAAAGGATGTCATTCCCAATCTCGCTTCGGCCGAAACGAAAATTGATTTTTTTATCGAGAGAGTTCACAGTGTGGCCAATTCGATATTTCAATGTAAAGCGCCTTTTCATGTGGGTAATAGACCTTCGCCGGTGTGGTGGGATGAGGAATGTGCAAGGGTAGTAGAAGAACGCAAGAAGTGTCTCAACACTTTTAAGAAAAATCGAACTCTAGAAAATTATATAATATGCCAAGAAAAGTTTGCCTATTCCAAGAGGTTTCTGAAACAGAAAAAGAAAAAAAGTTGGAGACAAATGTGCAACGAAATAAATAGGAATACCCCTATTAGTGAAGTGTGGAAAAAAATTAGGAAAATTAAAAGAATTTTTGTTCCTAGCTTCAGTAAACCAGATGACGCAATATTAACAAAGTTTCTTTCACATATCACGCCACCATGGGTCTGCGAAGAGAATAAAAGGAGACTTGACGAATATCATATTGCAGATAGCTACCTGTTAAACCCGTTTACTCAAATAGAATTAGAAGCTTGCCTCAAGTCACACAATAATACTGCTCCTGGTTTTGACGACATACCATATGCACTGTTATTCAATCTTCCAGAAAGTTACAAGATGCTTCTCTTAGAAGCATTTAACAACATTTATTTGAATGGGGAAGAAGTGCAGCAATTAAAGAAGATTGTAATAGTGCCGATACTAAAACCTCAAAAAGACCCGACTCAGTTGACCTCGTTCAGACCCATTTCACTACTTTCTTGTATAACCAAAACGTATGAACGTCTGATAAAGACACGTCTTGAATGGTGGTTATTAGAAAATAAAACATTGCCTCTCAATCAGTTTGGTTTCAGGAAAGGGTGCGGAACTATAGATGCCTTGGCACTCTTGGTAACAGATGCGCAATTAGCCTTTGGTAGCAACGAATATATGAGCTGTGTTTTCTTTGACTTAAAGGACGCATATAATTGTGTTGAACTATCTATATTAGAGAATAAGTTGATAACCTTAGGTTTACCAGCAAGAGTCTCTCGAAGTATTGTGTCACTTTATGAAAATAGGTATGTGTATATTAGAACGTGCAACAATAAGAAAATTGGTCCAAGAACGGTATCGAGGGGACTGGCACAAGGATCCATACTAAGCCCAATTCTTTTTAACATATACACGGCCGACATTCATTCTATTTTTAATAGGGGTACAACAATAATCCAATTCGCGGACGACTTCTGTGTATATAGCGTTGAAGGGAACCTAGATCGGTTGAAATCCGAATTAGATAGCATTGTCAGTGAGTCAAAACAATGGTTTAGGGAAAATGGTTTTGAACTCTCTACCGAGAAATCGGCTATAATGTTTCTTTCGCGGCATCGCAAACTCCCGATGGGTAGGATCTCTCTCGCGAATAATGAATTCCCTATAAAAACATCTTTTAAATATTTAGGGGTAGTTTTAGACAACAAACTAAAATGGACAGACCACATAAACGCTTTAGCTGCAAACTGTGAAAAGGCGCTGAATGTTGTACGAGCTGTTGTTCGAGTGAGATGGGGCATTGATCGAGACACAGCGCTCAGCTTGTTTAAAAGTTTGATAAGATCACGGATGGACTATGGATGTACTTTTTACGCGAACACTAACAAGACGAACTTGAAACGAATTGACGTCATACAGACTAAAGCCCTGAGATTGTGTATTGGCGCAATGATATCTACCCCAATCAAAGCCCTCCAGGTAGAAGCACAGGTGCCGCCTGCGGAGTTACGCAGAAAATATCTTGCCATAAAATACGTCATAAAACTCAAAGCACTTAAAGCCCGCTTGACATGGAGCAATAAAAATTGCAATTGCATGCAAGTTGCAAGAAAAATTGCGAAAGGCATGCGCAGTTCAAAGCCAGCTGATCAATTGCTGCAAGAGACTTGCATGCAATTTTTATAGGACCGGTGCTATTTTTCTTGCATGAATCGTGCAATTCTAGGGATAAATCTAGTTGTTTTTGTGTCACCAACCTAGTAAAATACAGCGGCGGCAACTATGATGCTGAGAGACGCACTCATTACTTGTTTTTATTAATCTTATTTATTCTTGTAATTTTCACGTTTCTTCAAGCAATCAAAATTTAATTTTCATTTGAGGTTAACTACTTTGTTGACAAATCCATATGTTTCTTCTGTTGGCAGACATGTGGCAATTGAAATAGAATTGCACCATGTCAAATACCATGCAATGCTTATTGCATGCAAGGATTTGACCTTGCAATTTCTTTCTGCAAGTTCTTGCGCGTTGTATTGCTCCATGTCAAGCGGCCTTAACTGCATACAAATGTACCAACGGTTAAATAGGTTGTCAATAGCTGACCTTACGGGAAGGTATTGGGCCAAAAAACCATCTCCATTATTAGCAGATGCATACAGAGATCTAGAAGACATGGCAGTAGCTATCTACACTCGGGAAATAATGACTTGTGACTTTCTTCAATCCTTTAGTTCTCCAGATGTCATATTCCCGAAATACAACGGTCAGGAAAACCATGATATTCAATTGTTTCAATCTATAAAAGAGGAATTGGGTAATGCCACCATTATTTTTACGGACGGTTCCAAAAATCAAACGGGAGTAGGTTGCGCTTTCTATAACCTCTCCAATAAAGAACACCAATTATTACAACTTCATAACCTAACATCTATATATTCAGCTGAAGCGATCGCCATATACGAAGCATTAAATTATTGTAGGGCGCGCCATATGACAAACGTTGTGTTGATGTCAGACTCCATGAGCGTTCTCAAAGGTTTTCAATCGAATTATTGCTCGTTCACAATGGATCCAATCTGTCAAAAAACTTTTAAGCTCATAGCAATGATGAGAACCGGAGGTTGTAAGATTAAATTTTATTGGGTGAAGTCTCATGTCAATATAAAAGCTAATGAACGAGCAGATGCGTTAGCAAAAAGGGCTATACAAGAGGGAACACCATATAATAAAATAATAACACCGAGTGATGCCGTAACCTATTTTAAGCACCAAATTTTGTTTACAAGATGGCAAAATCTTTGGGAAGACTCCAACTCGGAGAAAAGCACGCAATATACGACAATCCACCCTCAGTTGATTCGAACTCACTGGTCGAGGAACGTTACTGTGAGTAGGTGGTATGCGACCACAATAGCTCGACTAAAATTTGGTCACGGGCAATATCCATTGCATTTACATAAAATGGGATTGACAGATACTCCCAGTTGCGTATGTGGAGAACAAGGCGACCTTAATCATATTTTCCTTGGTTGTGTGAATAACGCTAATTTCACTGACAAATTACTTAAAGAAATACGCTGTCATAATATGGAATTACCAACCAATATGTTCACCCTATTAGCTTCAAATAACAAAAAAATCTACGACGCCTTGGTGCAATTTTTGATGGAAGCTAAAATTCAAATTTAAATAAATAAAATCATTCATTGAAGAATACCTCTGTCATAACATACTTCTGTTCGTCATCCTAAACCGTTCCGTGGTCTGTTGTCTGTCGGTTGTGTTTGTCTGATTAAAAGTCTCCATGAAAGACCGCATGGAGTGAAGAGTGTCATCCTTGTCATTTTGTTTCCATTCCTGTTAGCCACATGGGCATCGATCCCGATAGGGCTATTTAAAATTAAAAAAAAAAAAAAAAAAAAAAAGATATTTCAAAATAAACGGCACATAATTGTGACCACTTTTTTCCATATACAAGATGAGTTTTAAATTTTTAGTCTGACGTTTCTTCTCCGGTTAACCATCATCAGCTTTGTTTTTTCTTATGGAAGTCATTTTTACTTTTTGTGTCATTTGATAGAGCTTTTTCCTATCAATAAATGGTGCTGTTAATCCGTAAAAACGCAAGAAACTGCGAACTTACACTGCCCACGACAAAGTTGCCAGACAAAAAAAGAAGATATTTTAACAGTATTACTTCAGCCTCCCTTTGACGAATGTCAAATTTGAAATACTTGGCGAGTAATAACTTTGTAGTGAAATTGTTCCACACCAAACTTCTCTTCGAATCTAATTAGGGTACATTATTCGTATACTAATAATTAACACAAGTATCTCTATAACCTATAATTGATACTGGCTGAGTGCTCTCGATTTCATTTGGACTTGTACTGACCCCTTCATATGCGGTTTATGAAGGCTCCAAAACGGCACGAACGATTTGCTCGTCTCCTAGTAGATTGCTGGCCATCAAACCCTGCCTTGCAACACTATAACCACAGATATACGTCGTATACGACGTATATCTGTGCTATAACTATACGTTTTTCACCTATACAAATCTTAACTCTTTCCTTTTAAAATGACTATGCTTATGTGGTGGTCATAAAGCAAGTACAATTTATGGATAAAAAATATTTACTCAAGGATCCAGTGAATATGCATTTAATACTCCAATCTTGATTTTCTATAGGACAATTCAATTCATCTCGTATAGCACGATGTATTTAAACTGTAGAAAGGTTGCCATATTTTTATTGAAATGTACAAAAAGAATACAAAACAGTTTTCTCAAAATTCACTCAAATTAAATTTGACGTGTGGTTTCCAGGCAAATTGCGCGCTTATGACAAATGCGCATGCCCGATCAACATGTTTGTGATTTTCAGCGAGTTTGAATTATGATTAAAAAAATGGCGACCGCTTGCAAACACTTTGACAATTAGCAATGCGTTCAGTAAATATGCTTATATAAAAAGCGTAAACGGTTTGCAAACAGTTGGTTCTGGTGAACGCACCCATAGATACATGTGTATGTAGGCAACACACTATACATTTCAATTGTGATCCAGGTATACGGTACGGTAGTCAGATGTGCTGAATAATCCTCGTACATACATGAACTGTTGTTATTCTCTGCCCTCTATGGGTGAAATTCGTAAGTGTACTACAGATTGCTGCATCAGAAATTCAAAAATGTTACATAAATTAAGATTATACATTTTTCTCACCATTAAACTGGTGCAATCATCCTTTGTAGAAGATGACGTTTACCTAAATATACTAAAAATAGTAACAAATTTAAAATACAAATACCTTCGGGGTATGGGAACGAAAGTGTTACGAATGACGTCACCCGTTTATATTTATATTACCGTTTTTAACGTTTTACAAATTTTTACTTAGATAATTGCGGGAAAAGTTTTATCGAGTGACATTTTATTTTTACAATAAATAGGTAAATATTAATTTACTATATCGCTATATTATATAAGGCGCCTTTAACCCTATTCCATAATTACTTGTCTTAATAAAGTGCATCTGTGCTCAATGCTCTTCTAAAATTAAAATTTCGGAAGGGGGGTAAAATCTAAGAGACCAACACACATTTTCTTTGTATTTTTAGATTAGACTAAAGGCATGGAGTTACGTTCGAGCAGATCGAGATCGAGGACTCCCTTCGTTCAGGGCAGCGTCGAAAGGGAAATGGTCGGTGAAGATCTAGTTGGAAGTACGACATTTAGGACTACACGCAGCACGACAAGGTAAACGAATAATTTATTGTGCTTCTTTTTGAAGGTGTGCTTAATTCGGGAATTTAAATAAATTCAAGGTTCGTCCGAACAATTGTCCATCATTTGTAATGACTTGTAGTATTTAGCATTTTTATTCGAATTAGTTTAGGACAGTTCCTTTTTAGTTCCAAATCGGGTATCTAAGGGTAAGATTAAGGCAGATATATTCACGATTACTGCAGAAAAAACTAGAAGTCACCATGGTTCAAACGACCTGGTTATCAAAGTCATCTCACTGTTAAAATTATCTTTTGCGGATAATGTAGCAAACTGCAATGGTGTATTCTTGTTTACGTAGCTCTCATCTTAGATTAGGTGCATTAAGGAGTGCATTTATTTACAAAATTGTTCTAATGATATCTATTTTCTTTGCAGTTCGAGGCAAATTAGAGAGATAGATAAGTATTGGAAAGTATTAGCTAATGTTTATTCTTGATATAGGCTAATCAGTTGCACTGTCAATATTTCTTGTATTGTGTGTGGTAGTAATTCTCACCAAACTTTGGCACCTTTCATGTCAACAATTTTTAAACACCCTGTACCAGTAGAACTACAGTGTGAAGCATTTATTGGGTGTCCTCTTTCTAGTTAATTGGGTGTTTTGTAACCAATGGAATATTTGGCGTCTTCAATTTACTATTATCTTTATATGGCAGTTAGTTTCCATACAAACACATGTATTTCTAGAAATTTTCTATTGATGGTTATCTATCAGATAAATAAAATTGAGACGGGAAAGACTGGTCCAACCTGTGGCAGCTATTTTTGATAGTTTTCTTGTCGTTACAGCGAAATATTCTTAATATAAATAATAATAAAAATATAATGAATATTTCAAAAGCTTCAAAATTTTGTCTAGGTCAAGGCAGTATTGTTAGCTCCGTAGTGCTAGGTAGAAGTTATGTATTTCTCCGCCCTGTAGATACAAAAACCATAGAGGTAAACACTGTTATATTGATGGTCTTTCTCAAGCCATGTGTTTTTTTTAAATATTCTCTGTACTGATTATTTTTAACAGTTTTGTCAGTTTCGAAAATATTTCTGAAGTAGTACGCTTTTTGAAACATCCTGTATACTGATTATTTTTAATAGTTTTGCAAGCAGTTTTGTCAGTTTAAAAAATATTCCAAAAGCTTCACAGTTTTGGCTAGATCAAGACGGTCTTGTTAGCTTTGTAATAGTAGGTAGAACTTATTTATTTGTCCGCCCTGTAGATTCAAAAACCATAAAGGTGAGGTAAGCACTATTATATCTTCTCATTGTGTGTGTGTTTTTTTAATATCCTGTGTACTGATTATTTTTAGCTGTTTTGTCAGTTTCAAAAATATTTCCGAAGTACTATACTTTTTGAAACGTCCTGTATACTGAGTATTTTTAACATTTTTTTCACTTTCAAAAGCTTCAACATTTTTTCTAGATCAAGGGGTTCTTGTAGTTTTGTAGTGGTAAGTAGAATGTATTTATTTGTCCGCTCTCTTTGCCGCTCTGTAGATACAAAGGTGCTTTGGTCAGCCTCCTAATGTTCCAGGTATTTTCATAAGTAAAACATAACCTCATTAAAAAAAACGATAAGTTAATCAACTTGGTGCCGCATGTGTTTTTGAAGTACTCTGTATATTAAATTTGTGGTAATAGTTTTCTTGCCTGCATTCCAAAGAACTATTTCTCGTGTGCTTCAGGGATGAACACCTTGTATATTGGGCAAAAGTACTATCCAAACCCACATTTTAAAACGGCTTCATGAAATTTTTGTGAAAGATAGGATAAAAAAATGTGCATATTTTGATAAAGAAAAAAACAATTGACCCAAAAGTATCAGAATTTCGTAATTTACAATGGCAACCATTTATATTCTGCTGCTATGCCAACACTATGTGACATAGTTTTCGACATATGTCAATGTTTCTCTAAAAATTTGGAGATGCAAGAGTCCATTGAAAAAGGTTCTTAAACCGTTCAAGGTAGGTGAGTGGTCTTTTTTATAATCGAATCCTTAAAGTCCAAGGAATTTTGGGAGTGACCGTTGAAAGTTTTGAAAAGTTTCCAATTTGCAAGTTTCAAATTGCAACTACTATTTCTGATGCCAAAAATGAATGTAGATTTGAACCACTCTGTATATTATTGCATGTTCAAATTCTACGGAATTGTTTGTAGTTACTATAGCAACCACTATGCCATGGCTACTATGATCCTCAATAAAGTACAGGGTGTCCCATTTTCATTATCTAGTATCTCCGTAAGTAATTGTTATTGCAAAAAAGTAGTATAGACGTGGGATGCTCTTTTAGGGCCTAAGTGAAAAAGGCAAAAGTCAACATTTCAAAATATACGCTCAGAAATACAGGGGAAAATCATAAAATTGATTTTCTTAGTTAAACCGATACAGAAAAGTTTATTACAAAAGCTTCGCTATAATGATTATTGCATTTTTTTACGTTTTTAAAATATTTGTTTAAATTTTTTGAACCAATATTGAATTTTAATGTTATATTTTTGACAAAAGCATTTAATGTTAAAATAAAATATACAGTGTGTTCCATTTTAAAAAATGAGGTTAGATCCAATAACTTACCTGACCACGTATACTTATTTTGGAAATGGTAGATTATTCAACAATCATAAACACACTTTTGTTATAAACTTTTTTCTATATTTTTTTACCTAAGAAAATATAGGATCGCTCTGAAACGACGTTCCTTGATTTTCCCCTGTATGTTTTAATCCAGTGACCATTTTCAAATTTTAATTATACCATTTTGAATTTGAGCAAAAAAGAACGCATGGCGCTTAAATGACTTGTTTGATAGCATTAACAATTGCAGAGATACCCTATAAAAGTGCCGAAAATGGAACACTCTGTACATAATTGAATTTGTAGTGAAAAAATAGTACTCTTTATTAGCGCATTTTTTTTTCTTAAAAAAAGGGGGCTTTGCTTTTTGTCCGTCCGTCTATTCCTCTGGTTTTGAACACTGTAATTGACCTAATTGTCGTAAAGTCCTGGAATGTTTGCCAGACGGCCCAATTTATCTCTCATTGTATCTGTAGAGGTGCCCAATAAAACGCTGAAAATAGGGACGGGAGGTAAACACACGTTTTGCCAGCCATGGTATTTTAGTGAAAAGTTTCATCAAAAGGAATTCCTTCGCGCCTCCCGTTCGTAATCGGGGGGGGGGGGGGGGGGGGCTTCTTTCATGGTATTCTAATTAAAGGTGGACCTGTTTTCTACCAACCACCGCCATTCTCCTGAATTTGAACCATCATATAAGTCCAAAAGTGACATGGTGCATGAAAAACATCCTGTATACTACATTTTTGTTAATAGTTTTCTTGTCAATCTACTAAGTAAGTATTCCCAACCTATTGCAATTGTTTAAATAAGGAACATATTTGATTGATTTTTTTGAACACCCTATCGATGTAAATTATACGAATTAACATATTCTGATACTGGAAAAACTTTCAAAAAATGTAAATTTTGTAAACACCTGCCCGTGTGGCGCACTTCAGTTAAAACTGAACTGTGGTGCTAAGGGTTCCTGGTTTGAATCCGGGTTCGGGCATGGATATTTGTAAATGTATAGTGGGTTGGGCTGGTAGAGCAGCCTTGGCTGAAATCCCGCCCACTCAAAAATAAAGGCAGAATAAAATTGAAAAAAAAATAAATATCGATAATTTGCATCAGTGTTTTGAAACTCTCCACAATAGAATTTCTGATAGATATCAAATATACAGGAAAATCTCAAAATACTTGCAAAACTTAATTTAATTTTTGTAACTTATCTCAGATGGGTTTTGATCACGATACACTTACAACGGTATGCTCTTGCGCATCTAGGGTGACGTCACGTGCGAACAAAACCACAGAATGTAGAGCAAAATTACGATGCTTAGATCGACAAATCACAAGGTTAGTTGACAAATCATACTGATTTGTGTAGAGATCCTCGCGTAAGTTATTTCTGGGATTTCGTGATCGTATGAAATAAACTAACCAAAAACATTGGCCCTAAACATGAAATGCGGCTGTTTCAGTAAAAATTATATAAGTTCCACAGCGTTATCAAAAGATCTAATCTCTCCTCCGTGTCCCTTTTATTTTGATTTTCATTATTACGCGGTAGTTTTAAAATAGGTAAAGCATCAGGTTTCAAACATCCGCTGTTTTTAAAAGTAGGTCTAATTAAGAAGTCGTTCCCTTAGCGGTGCTTCAAAACGGCTGGCTTCAAAATGTTCATAACAAATACAGGATATAGGATTAAACAGCAATGGAAAGACTTAAACACACCACTTAATAATAATGTAACACCATTTTTCAAGTTAATTTTGTCCTTACGACGACTTGCAACAATCCATTTTAGAGAAAAGTCTTCAATTTTCGGAAATCGAAAGTACCTATTTTATTTCCACACACAACCTGGCATTTTGGAATTTTCACTAATGATTACTTAGCTATCAACAAATTAATGCTTAGCTATCAACAAATTAACGCTATAAAACTCGTAAATACAACTGAAAAGGTGCAAACTGTCACGCGTGACATCTGTACTGGATTTTTCCGTGCGTAAACATTTGAATTTTGGCGCCACACGTTCGCAGGTGACGTAATGCGCAGTAGAAAACGCGTTTAAGAAAAATAATGAGCATACCGTGTGTAAGTGTATCGTGGTTTTGATCTGTGCGGATCAGATAACTAATTGCTGTATTTGTTTCAGAGTAATAACATCAAATTACAACAATCTGACAAATAACATTAAGAGTTCCACGCCGGAAAGATCTATGAAAACCAGAAGTTCAAAGAGCGAAAAAGTGTCAAGAAAAGCTCGCTATAAAACGTCCGATTATTCTTCGGAAGAAGGAGAAGCGCTGGAATCGAGTAAGGACTCAACAGGTCGTTTCTTGGAGGAGTCGTCGAGGCGATCGGAAGAAAGTCATTCTACCGGTTCCGTGTCGGCCATCGATTTCTATAGGGCGGCTGGGGATTATTGGAAGTAAGTTGGTATGGTGCCCCATAGGTAGCAAATTATTTTATCAACGTTTGTGTCTGTGCCCTTTTTTATGGCCCAAATCTAAAAAAAAGCATGTTTATTCGTAATTCCATGATTGCCATGGAAATGTCACTTGACGTTGGCTTATAAAAATCACTGTCTTTGCAAATAAAATGACTTCGGTTGAAAGAGAGAATACAGCGTCCATTCAGTGACTTGTTGCAGAAGCAGAAGAAAAGTTGGTAGATACAAAATCCAAATCCAGTAAAACCTATTATAAAGAATATGAAAACAAACAAATGCATCGATAATGCTGGCATATATGAAGGAAATGCCAAATGAATTTAAAATTCTTATCCTTTGGTGCATTCATTCAAAGCTTCAAACGATGCTGCGATGAAGAAATTGAACAGATTTGGTAGCATCCCTATATTACAGGAAGATCATTCTAAAAATTTGCATAACGCCATAACTTTTCATTCTGAACAACTTTTCTTAGTAACACTTTGGCATCCGTGAAGGGAAAAGGTAGTTTACCTAGAACTAAAATAGTGATTGCTTAACGGTGAAGGCCTACTCGATTCTAAAAAATCGAAAGTAAACTAAAAATAAGTTTGACACCAAACAGGGCGGAATCCCAATATATGAAATTCCAATTCGAAAATTGTTTGCCAATCACATCTATTGTAAACTCAATCCGGGGACATACTGTATACTGATTTTGACATCTTTTGGATAAAAATATTTTGATCACTAAAAATCACACGTATCATTTTTTGGTCATCGATCAATCGAATTTGACCTTTTTCTCAAGAGAATTGATGCATAAATAACGATTTTGAGATCTTTTGGCTAAAAATATTTTCGTTACCAAAAATGCATATCGATCACTTATTTGGGAATCGCGCAATAGAGTTTAGTCTTTTTCCCAACAAAATTGGTGCATAAATAACGATTTTAACCGATTTTGGGCAACAACTTGGCGGTTGCCAAAGCTAATTTTTAATAGTTAAAAGGGCAATAAACCTCGTAAGCAGGACCTAAAAAAGCGGTAAGCGGTAGCCCTCTAAAGCTTACATCGCTTTGCTCTGCCGCTTAATGAACTGCACGGCATAGCTAAACTGCTCTTGTTATATTTTAGAGACTGTCATTCATGAATGTCATGGTACGTAGGTACTGTTATTTACATTTACTACGAAGAATTCAAATTGTAAACTCTGGCGCCATTCAGGCACCTTGCATACCATAATTATTGGTTCTTCCGCCAACCATTAACGCCATCTAAGTATAAATAGCCACACTAAACTGAACAGCAGAAAATAATAATGGCGACGTTTTTTCTAACATTTTTGTTTTGTGTATAGAAGAACACATTTTTGTTAAAAATTTGCTGTGGCTAGCACAGATACCAGCTGCGCATGCGCGATTCTGACCAACATCTTTTCACTTCCTTTTATGTCTAGGAATATGCGTACCAAATTTGGTTCCAATCTCTTCAGCCGTTTAGTCGGGAATGAGAGCTTGGCAGACCTGCGCATGCGCGATTCTGCCTAAAAGCTTTTCAGCTCTTCCTTTTGTGCCAAAGAATACATGTACAAAATTTGATAAATTCAAAAAAACTAAAATTTGTCTTATGTCATCGAAAGTATGAGATAAAAAAAAATTTTATATAAATGTTACTGTCTTTAATACGCCTAATTTAGAATTGATGTCAAAAAAAAATTCAAGATACCTACCCTCTTATCATATCATAAAATTAAAAATAAGATACCAGTTATATCAACGATTTTTTATTTTAATCAAGTAGTCTGTGATGAATTAAAAAAAACAAAATCTATTCGAGGCAACAAAAGAATGAAAATAATTACCTCAGATATTTAAAATATCAGGGGCGCACTCATGGGAGGGGGATTTGGGCGTTACAACTCCCTCCAAAATTTTATACAAGTAGGCCTAGAAAAATTTTGACTTTTATGACGGCACTTATGTTATTATCTATATTTACATACCTACAAAATGGTGGTATAACTACAAACTATCCCCTCGAAAAAAATCTCATGCCAATATCCAGTTAAACACATTTCTAGACACTTCTCTTGACTTTACACAATGTATTACCATTGGTGCATTGTCCCAGGTCACATTTTATAGGTCGTTTATCCGTAAGAATATCCAAACTAACTGCAGTTTTAGCAGTCCGAGTATATGGACAGATAAGTCTTATTTTTCTAACTGCGGAGTGTTCAAATCGACATAATGAACACTACTTGTCACGGGAAAACCTATATGTTGAAGTTTCACGCCGAAATCAAGTAAGGTTTTAAATTAATGTATTTTATGACATAATGGGAAGTCATGTAATTGGACCAGTAATCTCTTCGATGGAACTGTAACTGCTCACCATTATTTACAAATTCTCCAATAAACTTCCCTAAAGGATTTTCTAGACAACGTATGTTTCACAGGAAGGGTTGGTTTATGGTACCTACCAACAATTAAGCTGGCTGCCCAGGTCACAATTCACGAATTATGTACATTGTACATTAAAGAATAAAGTATATGGAAGTAGCTACAATTATAATAATAGTAATAATAACGTACACAACTACGCGAAGCCGTTCTAAAGGCGTGTTATAGCATCAATCCCAACATGTTGCCTAAAGTAAACTGCCTTGAAGTGTGTTTCACTAATAATAGCCAGTATTTTAAACATCTGATGTAATTATTTTCATTGTTTTGTTGCCTCGAATAGATTTTGTTTTGTTTTTTTTAATTCGTCACAGACTACTTGATTAAAATATAAAAACCGTTGATATAACTGGTATCTTATTTCAATCTTATGCTATGATAGCTCGTTGAAAAGAGAATTAAAAAATCTATCGAATAATCTAAAAATCCAATATGGCGCCTATTTAACTTTAGAAAGTTGGTAAATGTTCCTCAAAAGTAGCCATCTTGAATTTTTTTTAACATCTATTTAAATGAAGCACATCAAAGATAGGAACTTTTATATAAAACTTTTTTTTATATCTCTTATACTTTCGATGATATAGGTATAACAGATTAAAGTAAAAGACCAATTTTAGTTTTTTTGAATTTACGTGGAACCTATTCGACATTTTGAATTTCCACAAGGAAATTTTAAATAAGCATCTAAAACTGCAAAACATTGTCCATTTAACCAATTCTCTATCTTTAATAATAAGAAAGTTACCCATGCAATCCCACCCGATCTGGGACACACTGTATGTGAAAACATTTTGAGTTGTTTCTAAAATCTAACCGCTCCACAGCGGTGGACCTTCAGGTAAGTTTGTTTCAAATGTTATGTTATGTGATTCGCTGGTGCCATTTTTGTTACTTTAAATACACCCTGTATAAATGTATGTACGTGTTCTACGCTGAGAACTTTCATTTTGTAATCACAATTTCACTGAACTATTTTGATCATACAAAATACAGATGCAGGTGTGTTGGGTGACAGTCATTAGAATGTGTTTCTTGTTTCTATTTATAGGGTTTTTAATTGCTGCAGTTCTTATTTATAGGCATCTCTTCCCTTTTATAATTAAGCTCATTCCAAAAAAAACGGGCTCTTCCAACACATACCTATACACAGAGTGTAAGAAATAATTAAACAAAACAGGGAGAGAAGTAACCAAAGCAACTATTTATTCAAAGTTAATTGATGGGTTTGAAACTGAAATCTCAAAAGAGATGAATTTTGTATTTCCTTTTAATCTTTTCTGGAAAAAACGTGTTTTGGTTCTGTTTTTGAAAAATTGCTATATCAAGACAGCCCTTAAGCGCAAAAACAATTTTCATCTCAACTATGTTTTGCAACCAGAGAAGAACGCTTAGTACATCTGAAAACATTTTTTTAAAGCTTACACCCTGTATATTATGAATGTTTATTTATTGGTAAAGTTTTATTCACATTTAATTCTGATTTGCACTAAAATTTGAATGCAGGTGGTACAAACTTGTTTACAAATTTGATTTATCAATTCTTATCTACCTGACACAGTCTAAATGTGCCAGTGTCCTGCCTTGAGTAATAATAAAATCTTTTAATTTCAGCAAATATCCAAAAACGGATTATACCTATTCGCTACATTCAAAAGACAGAACGGAACTGGCGCCAGGCGTTCTGGCAATGCCAAATATGTCTCGTCGATCGTTGCACGGTTCAGACTACTCGAATGAATTCCTAAGATCTCACAAGGAAACTAACACCCATGAAGAACACATCGACTTCACTCCCTCGCACAACTACCGAACGGAGGAGGTGACAAGATTGAAGCAACGCAATCTGTTCTCGAACAATAATCACGACAAGATGTATCAGTATTCAGCGTACACAAAGCGCCAATCATTTCGTTCGAGAACTTGGAGCGCTCTTGTGACTGTCGTTACGTGGATCACATCAATTTTTTATTACACCTTTACAGTACAAAATTCTATATTCATATGGTTCGCGAAGATCTTACACAGAGTCGCGACACGTGTCATGCTATGGGACTCGTGGCTGCTAAGGTCCGTCAGGAAGAGCAATAAAGTAACCTCGCTCATCATGCTGTGCGTGATTCCGCTATTAGTTTTCGGAGGTAGGTGCGAATTTTTTTCCATTTCTCTTAACTTTCGCTCGCTTACGTCACGTTCACGTAACGGTGAAGGAGGATTTACATATTGTTATTCTATTTTAGGATTACACGTACTGCTGATCAGCGGTGTGTCCCTTACCCCACCCTGCCACCCAAACTGTGGACGCATTGCCTCTTCTTACGCAAATGCTATTGTTAAATCCGCTAATAACATCGTTAACGATACTTACAATTACTTTATGTTAGAATCGTAAAGCACTGCACTCATTGCATGACACATTTATATCGTATGCTTCCATAGTCGCCAGTGGTGCAATAAGTTTGATAGCGTGCCTAAGTTTTTCATCAGTGCGATTTGCTATTAAAGTACAGCACATATACTCGCATAAATCAATAATCAAATATGTAATCGATTTTTGTAATTTAATTCATTCAAATATTTATCTACGGCATAGCATGGAGTAAATAAACATTCAGAAAAGTGGAGTCCAAACGGTTAGGTACCTATTAAAATTAATTTCTGATTATAAGAACGGCAAAATACTCTTGAAACCCTCGAATTTGGCAAATTGTGGATTAAAAAATTCCTTTAAACAAAATTTAATTCTAAATTTCAACCAAATTAATAGGCTCAAGTTTACTACTATTAATATCGGAAATTTAAAAATTTAAGACTAATGAATCTAAGCTGGTTGTTAATGTTATTTAATATTGACTTAAATAAATAGAACTAACCTTGGCCTACAAGTCTTCTCGTTTATGGAATGGGTTGAACCCCTTAGCATCAAGGTAAAGCTGGATAGATGTGTTCTTTCAGGAGACGTGTCTATATTAAACTCTTCTGGTCTCAAGAACGTGATTTGTATACAGGGTAATTCAAATTCGTGGATCGCCATTGGGATCTCCGCAACGGTAAGAGGTACAGTGTAGGTAAATGGGGGCAAAGTTGCCCTTTTTTGGAAGTAACTGAGATATCATCGAAAAACTGAAAATGTCAAATTCCGTTGTCATTATCTCTAGCTCGGAAATAAACGCTTCCCTTCTATAGCACGCTAGATGTGAAAGCTACAGGCTACTACTTTCTTATTTTTTATGGGCGCCATATTGGATTTTTACGGAATGAGATGGAGACAAAAAAGAAAAATAACGATGTGTCACACTTTTACATACATTTACAAGAAAATTCAAAAGCTTTACATTCATGTGTCAACAGAACACAAAAAGGGTCAACTTTGCCCCCATTTAACCTACACTGTATCTCTCACTGTTATGTAGATCCCAATGGCCACGAATTTAAACTACCATGTACACTAAACAGTTTATTGAATTTTGTTACTGTTTAGTATAATTTGAGAAAATCCTCAGTAAGCAGTTGCACAAAATTATACGATTATATTATATATTATATGACGCCTCCAACAATGGGACCGATTTTTAGTTACAATTTCACCACTATTATGCGTTATTTAATTAAAGTTTTCCACGATTTATTCGCGACGCTACCAATCTGACGCACAGTTTTTCTTTAACGCGTGATAATGAGCTCGTTCTGTCAGCACCTTTACTTTCGTATTCTTAAAGAAGTCCCTATTTATTTAGGTTTGCAACTTTACACTTTTAAGTTTCCTGTTAGGTTTTTCAAAGCTGCATGACCCCCTTTTTAATTACGGAGTAATTTTTTCACACCGACAATGGCGAATTTCTTTACAAAATGGCGAGTTTATTGGTTAGTGTCTTTTGTACTACCAATCCTAAAGGGCTGTTAAAAATCCCACTCAATTCAAAACATTTAAGCTCTGCAAATTGACACATATTTTCTTGACATACAGGGTGATTCCTATAGTACCTGCCACCGTTTGGGAGCGTGTAGGTGGTGCGTAGGGGAGTATTTTGATATAGGACACTTGGGGTCGGAAAAGGGTGCCAGAGCCAAATTTACCTTCTGGAATTTCGCGCCTGTAGGTAGGCAACCCAACCGGCCGGCGGTGCACACGGGCGCTAGTGGGCTGCGAAATAGGAGGAGGTCGGTGTAAACAAACAAACTTTTCGAAATGGGTGCTTAAATGACCCAAGTATCGATGTGCATCACGAATCTGTGTGTAAAGTTAAGCCTCCGTCAGCTTACCTGCAATTGCTCTGTCTCGCACAGTCGGAAGTGAACTTCTTGAAAGACCTGTCTGCAGGGTAACTGACGGTTTGGATACCGCTCGTCGTGCAGCTCGTGCGTTACCATTTGCCAATCCGTACATGAAGTGCATGTCCGCGTATTCCGTGTTAGTAAAACGTGCCATAGTGTTTATTCACTTGATACGCGTCGTTGCAGACGGAATTTCGTGGGTTTAAACAAAATTCTGATCAAGTGTCAGCCACACATCGCCGCCTGAGATCGCTCCGTGTGCACCGCCGGCCGGTTGGGTTGCCTACCTACAGGCGCGAAATTCCAGAAGGTAAATTTGGCTCTGGCACCCTTATTTTAGATTTCCGACCCCAAGTGTCCTATATCAAAATACTCCCCTACGCACCACCTACACGCTCCCAAACGGTGGCAGGTACTATAGGAATCACCCTGTATACACTCAGAATGTAATTTTTTTTTTCAGAAACCTCAAACGAAATCATAAATTAGAATTGATTACTTTTGAACCTAAATCTACTTTTATGTATGGAGTTGTCCATTTATCACGTACTGCTCGAAGGGCGGGGGGGGGGGGCCTTAAACCTCGCTACCTATTAATAAGAAGTTGCTGCTAAAAAACATCACGTGAATAATCGGCGGCCCCTATACTTTCTTTTATTTATGGGAACAGGAGCTTTGAGCTACGTTCAAGATTATTTATACATATGTATAGGATGTTGCAACAAGCTGTGCATTTTTTGTATTTGAAATTTTTTTGGGTTTTGTTTTTCCACACTTGGCGGTTCGGTAATTCGAATATTTTTTCAGAATGCAAACGAGTCGAATTAAATACAGTGTGTTCAAGATAGTAGGGTCACCTCAATATAATTTTGTATGCGACATCACGATGGTTTCCGGTGTCACTACCGGAATTAGAGGCAACTTTTGTTTTTCAAATGTAATACCTATGTTTTTTTAAGATATTTGAAAAGAGTAATCAATTTGCTGTATGACAACATAAAATATGCATATGGTTAATATCAGAGACTTGCTATAACTAGACTGCGCTTAACGTATCTAAGGTGTTGTCGACACAGTATGCAACACACAGTGCACCGCGGGGCAAAAATCGCTGAGATGATATGCAATACATTATATTGCAATAAGCTGTTATTTTAGATGTTCCGTTCATTAATCATTCTCGTGATTAGCTCGAATTAGTGAACAGATAAATTTCTGTTGAGAATAAACCAATAAACTTAGGTTAACTTGTGCCTATCAACATGTACTCTGTTGATAAATTTTTAAATAATATGCTGATTTTCAACGGATAAAGGTTTAAAGGGCCAATGGATCAGAGCCATTCGAAGCGAAAAATTTACTCCCACCATAGTGCATTTGCGGGGAATGAAGCCGATTTTAGAAAGGTACCTACAAAGGTGTTAAACAATAATGCAATACCGAGCGTTTTCGACTTTCCCATTCACTTAAAATAACGTAGAACTATTATTCGACATCCTTTACCAGAAAGACAACGGCAATACCTATTTGCCTATTAGGTATAGACGTAACTAAGTACTTAATGGTACTAAGTATATTTCAGGTTTTGTTACAAGAAAAATAGCTTAGTCTGTTAAATGTTCCATATGTACAGATGCGACATTCGCATCAGAGAATCATTCAAAGCTTTTAACTAGAAAAAATCGTGGAGGATTGTTGCACGTATCAAGCGATGCATTAAAAATTGCCAAATTGCTGAAAATGTGTTCAGGTTTTTCATTCAATCCACACCACACCGCGTTGTAAACAAAATGGTTATGAGCAGTCTAAGAAAAATAAATAACAGTTACAGCCCATTTGGGTTTTTGGATAACCATATATTGAATCAAAATCCGCTAAATAATCATATCTTACTACTTACATCTTTAGTTTTAAGAGTATATTTTCCCATGCGTGTTCACCACCAAAATACACATATAAATCAAATTAGGACTAGAGTAAGGCAGTTATATACCAATTTAGTTCAAATAAAATACCAATAAATTCGATTAAAACAGTTAACAGCTATATGTTATGTTTTTTTGCTACTAAAATTTAGAATAAATGGCTAAAGCAAGCTGCAGAACGTACGTCTGCCCCGCGATGAACAGTTGGTTGCCTATCCTATCTTGACAACAGGCGTTTATAGTAAAATCTACGTTACGCGCGGTCTAGTTATAACAAGTCTCTGGTTAATATACAAAAAAAATTCAATATTAAAAAAACTTAATGAAATCTAGCATGCCGTGTCATGCTGTGCGCTGTGTGTGTTGTGTTACACAAAAAATCAACTTGTTCAATGTCCCGTTTTGAAGATTTACTTTTGCATGACGCAATCTACCCGTGTCGCGCAACAGACACATCCTGACAGCACACAGCATGCTAGATTTCATAAATTTTCTAAGTAATAAATTGAATCACAAATTTATTTGTATATCAACCATACGCATATTTTATGTTGTCATACAGTAAATTGATTGCTCTTTTCAAATATCTTAAAAAACGTACAGGGTTCATTCTGTAATGCTTATTTTCTGGGAAAAATAGATTTAGTGATCTGATTGCTACAAATTCTTCTCCTGCATCAATAAACTCGCGAAGACGATTCTGCCACGCCTGAAAGACACCCTGCAACTCGTCGGCTGTTGGAGGAGCAAAAAAAGTCGCACGAAGTCTGGTCAGGGCTGTTAAGCATCAAAATACGTAACTTTGCCAAATTTAAACTACCTACCTATCTGTTACAGTTTCCGAGATCCCCATGGTGGCCCTAGAATTTGAATCAGCCTGTATACAGGGTATCCAATTAGTGCGATATCGGGCGCTATCATGCTACAAAAGAATATAAAATTGTGTGCTGGTCTAGCGTGAACAACAAAAATATTTTTGTAAGTACAGGGTGGTCCAAATTGAACACTTTCTTATTGAATCGCTCTTTATTTTGCGAGATAAAAAAATGTCCCTAGGTGTCTGGAGCTCAATTTTAAAGAGAAAATCACTGGTGCCAACAGAATTCTTTAATCGTTTGGCCGCTAGGGGGCGTTTCTCGAATTTAGTCGATTTCTTGAATTACTCATAACTTTCTTATTATTAAAAATAATTGATTTTGGCAACATTTTTCTTATAACACTTGTTTTATACAGAGTCAATCGCGTAACGCAGTTTTTATACCGGGCGTTTTCTTTTTTTATACGACCGTAAACTACCTTTTTTGATACGGACCACCCTATCTATTTTGGAGTTTTTAAAAATAAAATTTCGTAAATTTTGATGTATCTCGTGTTATACTTATATTAAATATTATTTACAATATTCCATTTTATACATTAAACTATTTGTATAACCGACATCTAGGTCTCCATAGCGAACAAACAATATCAGGATTGTTTAAAACCAAAACGACAATTTCTTCTATATAATCTTAATCTGTATTATTTATTTATAATATATTATTTATGTGTTTTATTGACATAGGATTCCACGTTCTTTGTTTATTGTGGTTATTTAAAATTAAAAATATTTGGAAAATCAAGAAATTGTCGTTTTAAACAATCCAACCATGTTTTGTTCGCCAAGGAGAGCTAGATGTCTTCAATATAAATATTTAAATGAATAAAATGCAATATTGCAAACGATATTTAATATACATCTAACTGAGACATCCAAAGTTAGTAAATTTTAACCTTTCTTCAAAAACTCTCAAATATATAGGGTGATCCATATGAAAAAATGTAGTTCAGGATCGCATAAGAAAATCCCAACATCCTGTATAAAAACTATCTACCGTGATGAACTAATCCAAATGTAAAAATTTTCGCTTGAAATTGATTCGTGTTACGATTGTAAAGAAATGGGGTTGGATTCGTAAGCACTAGGTAGTTTTGATTACATATATCTCCTTCCTATAGAAACCAAGAAAAGTAGATTTGAGATTATTGAACTGACTCAACACTTAACATTAAACTCAATTTACACATTAGAAAAAAACGCACTGATTTAAAAACAATAACATTTTACCGCACTGCGCACGTGCAACATCAGCTGGTGTTATATTTTCAGTTGCTTACTGGTACTGTTGTCAAAAATGTGGCATGCCTTATACTATCATTATCAGGTGGCGTGGTTTTTATATTTATTCATAATATATTAATATTTATATGCCTTTTTTTATTTATTAGTATGTACGCAATGATTTTACATAACACGTTACTAATTAAAGCTTTATATAAACAAAACTTAACGCTTTTGATTTAGAACTTCAATTATATTAAAAATTAGGAGGGTGGTAAGGTGAGGCAAGGTTATTTACTTAAAGACAGTTCATTTCAAAACCACTCATAATTTGGTAAACAATTCGTCTTTAAGTATATGATTACATACAGGCTCGTTGCAGGGTGGTGGTTACTTTCACAATTCGGTCCGCTACTTTACGATAAATACCGGAGCAACGATACCGTCCCAAGTTCAGTTGAAAAGCTGTCAGTTGTTAGTTCGTTCGACGACAACATAATCAGGAAAGACACGGTTTCCGAATCGCTAAGGGCAGATAAGCTGTCCTCCGCTCAAATCCAAGAAATCGCAAACACAGTTAGATTAAGTTTAAATATGGACGATTTTTATAATGTCGATAGTCTTGTTCATAAAATAGTTTCCAGTCCCAATATGCAAAATGTTATTAACAACTGCAAGACGATCGACGACGGCAAGCACAGTGCGCACATTGTAAGGCAACAGCAGGAAATAATCGACACCTTGAGAATTGAAATTGACAAGATCCGTCTCGAGCAGTTGCAGTTGGAGAAAATATATCATAAGGACATTTTGGATGATATAACTCGGTTGCGGGTCCAACATGATCGAGATATGGCGAGTTTAAATTTGAAACTAAATCGGTAAGTTCGCATTTCGTTTTTAAATAGGTGGAAAAATTGCAGACCTCAGATCATAGATGCAGCACCTACCCTAGGCGCTTTGCGTTCAGGGATATTGATTGTAAATTACCTAATGGATTTTTTGAAATTGTCACAGACAGAGGTATACCATGTAAAAGTTGTAGGAGTAACAGTGAATCGTCTTAATTTATCACTATAGTAGGATTTTCCTTAGATTGCGCGCACGTCATCGGTGTATAATGACGTCATCACTAAGTATGTTTACATAGCATCGTGCAATCAATGAAAGAGATTATGTATCTAGGCATCCATACAAACAGTGCTGCATTGTTGGTAGGATACCCATTACATTAATAACTTCTATTGACCAATTACAAAAAAGTAGTTATTTGTAACTGGTTGTCTATGTCGCGATCTTTTACTAACAAGGTGGACATTATTATTTGAACCTTAAGGAAAAATTTAAAAAAAAGTAATTTTAATTGTTTTTTGTAAGAACAACGCCCGCAGTACTTAGCAACAGAAATCGAGAGGCGACTGCAATCTTGACTTACCTCATACTCACGAGCAGATGGACTTTTCGCGGCATTTTCGAATCTGGATAGCATGGTCGTTCTTTTCGCGCGTAATTCTAACTTAGTATTACTCCCGTTTATACTTAAATTCATCCTTTTACTTGATATTGTTATCCCATCTAGGTGTTTCGTTTCTAATCCACTAGTTTTAGATTCCTTCTGCAGAGGCACCTCTAAAAAGCATTATGCGGGTCACTCTGTAATTGGGCGCAAGCCTGTTGAGGGCCCAGAACAAGAGAGGGATAATAAATAAATAAATAAATTCCTGTAGTAAATTTGTTATTATCTTAATATGTTCTTACGATGTTCTTTGTGTCGCCGACGGTGGTCATGCATAGTTCTTTTTAATTTCTTTCGGCGCACGCACTTCAATGTACAAAGACGAGATTCGATCATTACTTGTAGAACATACACGCCATTACGGTTACTTGACCATTTCAGTCAGCCTTTTGCGATTTTTGGTGGTGCTGTATGAGTTTAGTGAAGTTTTCTCTTGTTATTTTGCTTTCGTTTTGACACTTGGCTGGCGCATTTGCGGATATATTTTACAAGTTTTAAGGCTGGTTTCGGTATGTTAACAAAAGTTACGTATTTACCTTCTGACTTTGAATAATCAATTTTATGCTTCTTGTTTAGTCTTTTCTTCATTACCGGATTGTGCTTTCTGCATCGATATTCCTAAGTGGAAACAAATTTGAATTTTCTCAATGATGCGCAAGAAAAATTCATTTGCAGAGGTCCACCGCCATCTTATGAAGTCAAGCACGCCATAGATGAGTTTCTACATTACCGGCTGGGAAAATTACCTATTACTATTACCTGTGACCTACTTGCACACAAACCAACACCTTCATAATTGTTCCTGAATTCACAAGTATTAACGAACCGTTTGGAGAATCTTACTTCGCTATTTCTGATTTTACTTACACTACAAAAGTCGATGCTGAATGGAGACCCGATTTGAGGTATATTACCTACGATTACTTTTGTGTGACTCATTTGCATTAGTTTAACTATGTTCCATATTCTTTACATTAATTGGTTTACCGATATTAGCTATTGTACTTCCGGACAGGTCATACAACGGACTGTTTGTGTGTACAAAGGAAAATAAGTTATGGCATAAATATTCTTATAAATAAGAAACTTAAGATTGCGTAGTCTGCGCATGCACATACCTGATGTTTAAAGTATGCGATATGTTTGCCTTTACTAGAAAAATCTCTGATTAAAATTTAAAAAAAACTATAAATAAGAAAGCTGACATTGCGTAGTTCGCGCATGCGCCTATATGATTTTTACAATATGCGATATGCTTGTCTTTACTAGAAGCATTTGTGGTTAAAATTTTAAAGAAATATCTCCATAAATAAGAAAATTGACATCGCGCATTTTGCGCATGCGCACATTAATCATCAAGATTTTTCTTGGTTGAGGTGCCAGACCTATTAGCTACCGAATGCAAAAAGAACGAACTTAATATCTTGAAAACTGTAGGAGTAGTTAAGGCCTCGGACGGACAGACGGACAGAGAAAGTGGCCATAATAGTGCCTTCCAGCATGAGTTGGAAACTGCGCTAAAAATACAGGTTGTTGATTAATGTGATAATTGGTTCAAATTTGATAGATCAATTATTTTTTAGAATCTCTACAATAAAGTATCAAAATAGTTGGTCGCAATATATAGTGTTGCATTTTCTTTGTCACCCAGTATAACGAAAACGACGGCTTTTAGGCCATGCATATATTTGCATTGTTTCTTATTTTGATGAGTATCACCGCCTGAAATATGTGCATGAAATTAATTAACACCCTGTATAGAGGTTCATTTATTACTAGCAAACTACGTACCGCCTATCAGGTAATCGCTAATTCCAATTCAGCGGAATTGAACATTAGTTTACCTATTTGTGTTCTCACATTTTTTTGAAAAACAAAGTTGTACAAAAATGCGAAGCGAAAACGCGTCTGCTATTTATGAATATGCTTCCCGTGTACGGATTTTTACGTCTGTGTCAGTCACTAAACATGAGTAATTTTTGCGCCCCTTCTTGTCTGCGACGTAAGCGACGGGTTACATCGCTTACGCCTAAAGCCGGCCCTGCCTCGACAATTGTAAGGATAATCCGTGTTTTTGCTTTTGCTAGTGTAAAGTCCTTTGAATTATTGATTCCTGTTGAGTATTGATTACAGTTTTTATATCCGATTGCCTCCGTGTCAGACGTTAGTATTGCTATGGAGTTCTGTATTGCTCCTTGTGTGAAACCATCAACATCGCTAACGAGTTTGTTACATTGTCACTGTTCACAAGCTGGCAATATCTGCAACTCTCTGTGAAATGAAACTTGCTACGTATATGAATTTCTATGTTACTAAAGTAACCACTTACCTCTCTTACTGCTGTTAACTGGTAAAAGTGGACCACCATTATCTCTTTTTCGTTCAAAATAAGAATAAGATTAAAAATACGTTGCTTACTTTTTCTTTGTAAACCCGATGGTATTTTTTGGGTTATACAACTTTTGGCGCAGAATATCGCAGTGAAACTTACTGAAGTTATGCTTCTATAATTGTTCGTTATGAAATTAACGGATTTTTTATCGGCTAATGTAACAAAATGGGATAAAATAATGACAACGGTAGCAAACAGTTGTCAAATTTGACGTATCGCAATGTAAACGTAGACTACCGCAATTTCAATTGACAAAAAAACATTTTCACCAAAGGTTTTTGGCCTTCTCTTTTAAATAACGCACAACTCTGTTACAAGAACCGGTATTTTGTGAAATGCATTGATCAATCTAACATAAACAGGTAATTCCCAGGTTTAAAATGATTTTGTTTATATGATTGCATTACAATATTCCCTAAAAACAGAATTAATAACGTGCGTGCAAACTAAGGATCCTACTTTAAAAAAACAGTGGCGTACCACAGCTAAGGGGTGCAAACAATAATATTTTTTTTAATAGAACACCCTATATTTTATTTTATCTTCGTAATGCCCATATTTTTCTGAATTCGAAAATATATCACATGATACCTCTAGCTTAAACCATTTTTGAGGTATTAAACAATGAAAATAGTGGGGTTATGTTACTTGCCTTTTGGAAAATTATTATCATCAAAGTCAGCCATGCTATTTTCCTCAAATTTCTACTGTAGGTACTGCTAATGAAGCTAACAACGCGACCTGAAAAAGTTGGGTATACGCATGCGCGGAACGAATTTTATTTACCAGTTTTCTCCTGTTGCGGATTTTTTTCCTAAAAGCTGGCGTCATGGTCCTCATAATATTACATTAGGGTCCCTGGTTAAGCTACAAGAATTTCTGATGGTCTGAGAGCTGCAATTTTTGTGCAGACTATGAAATTATTTTCTATCAGATTTTGCTATTCCCGTGGTATTTTTAGGTGTTGCCGTAATTCCGCAATTTCAATAGAAGGCCACATTACGCGAATTCTGAAAGAGTTTTTCAACGCCCCACGCGAACTTCACAACTACAAAGATATTTCGCGATGGTTACATTCGACGTTCGTCGCCAAACAAGATCTAGAGACGCATTTGGCAAACATAACCCACAATTTGCATTCCGATTTCGACGCCCTTATCAAAAATAACGGCGAGGTGATCATGAACGACGTAATGGCGAAACTGACGTACGAGTTAAGTCGTCGTATAGATAGAGGCGTACCGAACGCGAACGTCGCAGTGGATTCGATAACCGACGAATATGTCAAGGGAATCGTGCGCGATTCGTTAGCAGTTTACGATGCTGATAAAACGGGCCTTGTGGATTACGCACTGGAATCGGCCGGTGGCGAAGTAGTAAACATAAGGTGCACAGAAGGCTATAACGTCCGAACGGCCGTATATTCCATATTTGGAATTCCAATTTGGTACCCGACCAACAATCCACGCACTGCCATAACCCCAGGCGCCGTTCCCGGCGAGTGTTGGGCGTTTCAGAATTTCCCCGGATTTTTGCTCATAAAACTCAGTGCGAGAGTGAAGATCGAGGCGTTTTCAATGGAACATATCAGTAAAATGCTCTCTCCGAATGGGAAGATCGATTCCGCCCCGAAGGAGTTTCACGTCTTCGGACTACAAAATGCAACCGACCCGGGCGTTTTGATAGGCGAATATTTTTATGATGAAAACGGACCGCCGCTGCAATACTTTGCCGCCGCCAGGAACGGTTTGAGTTTTCCCATCGTCGAATTAAAGATCATGTCAAATCACGGCAACCTGAAGTACACCTGCTTGTATAGATTTAGAGTTCATGGCAAACTAGATTTAGAAACTTGATCTTTTTTATTGTTATATTAGTCGTCGTAATGAAACTATGTCATGCTAGTCATTTTAATTAGGTTGTCGCAAACGGTCCCGGTTATAATGTAGTACAAAAGTTTTTTGAACTGTGTTGTCATCTTGGTTAAGTAAACCTCACAATACCTCAAATACTGGAATTTTATAATTTTTGAATATATACACATTTTATAACTTCATCGTGCTGTTCGCTCACTTTTAACTTCGAATATAAATTTAATAAGAAGACACAGTAACCAAGTATCTTGTTGTGGTTCACAGTTTGCCTTCTTGTACAATTTATATTTATCAATAGGTCTAGCGCGTTCTCCTCAAATTGCAGTGAATTTAATGTTGGCGAAAGTTTTTTAATCCATCTAGTTTTGGACACATTCAATTCACCACAGTTAATCGGGAAGCGTCTGTGATATGATCTCGATAAGTTACATTTGTATCAAACGTGGTACTTAGTTAAACCGACACAGATTCAAGGGCTAATTAAATCCTGTGATGTGTAAAAAAATGGTTAAAAACATGCCTTCAAATTTTAGGGTACTTTACGAATATTGTAGAAACTAAAGATCTATTTATGGAATTTAAAGATTTTTAACTTAATCAAAGTAGCATTTAAGTTTGAATTTAGATTGTAAGTATACTAACAAACACTTAATCATTTTCTCGGAGGTATAATGTTTTTTTATTTGATTATTTAATGATTATGATCAGAGTTTTGTAAAATTGTAAGTTACCATTTTTATAGCGATCGATGATTTTGAATAAACATTTTTTGAGTTTATTACATTTTATTTTAAAACAGAAATATGGGTTGCGCGCACAGACATTTTTTAAGAGGTCTGTGGTTGCGCGATACCATATAACGACGAGACCTCTGGTGGCAGCACATTGTAATAATTACAGTTAGGAGAATACCCCCATTTTTGTTGGGTTTCTTTATTTGCAATGGCCAAAAGTAACAAATATCGTAGTATTTGTGGCTGTGAAAGTAAATAGGTACTCTTGCAAAAATTTCATTTATAATCAGGGTTTATAATCGCGATCCATGTCCGATTGCAGCGTCAAGCGGATCATGGTGGATTGGCTTCGGTTAAGGTGACTTGCAATTTTTGTGAATGAAAAACCACCTCCACCCAAACCAATGATACGACAGACTTCTCTTAATTCGCGGTAATTTCTACGTTGGCGTAAATTCTAGGCATGATCCTCAAAAGAAACGATTAAAAGCGAAAACAATAAGAACTGAACAAAATCTCGCAAACCGTACACGATAAATTACTAAGAAAATTAATAGTTTATTATCCGGGGGTAACACCAATTTCAACCAAATTTCACAGGGGTCAAGGAGGGGTCCCACGATACTAAAAAACCATACCACACCCACCGCAATTGTTTATAACAAACAATAGCTAATAACAAATTTTACACAAGTTCCGTTACAAAAATGAAGGTGGCGCTGTGCGTAAATAAATCATAAAATCCCTAGATTGGTAGGGACTTTAATAAATCAATCTGATTATATTCATGTGCGCAGGTGCAATTCTACCCAACGGCCACCACGTTACGGCATATTATAAGCGTTACGGACGGAAGGTTTCTCGCTTTCCGGTATCTCGCGCCGATAGGAGCAGGTTTCTCGCGCTGTGACTGCACACAATAAAAGCGAGAAAAAGCGAAGCCGGTGGCGCAGGGGTTGCGTTCCAGCCTGCTATTCGGGAGGTTGTTTTTTACCTAGCGAGCCTACTGCCACTGTGCCGTAATTAGGAAATTTTGCTCAATGGTATGGTTTTTTAAATCTTCTGCTGTGCATTTTTTTTTTATTCCACTCTCTCATATTCAGATTTCGGTTAAAAAGTACAATTAAAAATCAGGTTTCAAAATCTCTTTTGGTTGGGCCCCCAGAATATGACCGGGCCCCGGGGCAAATGCCCCGGCTGACCCCCCTTATCACGCCGCCACTGGAATATCACTTGCTTACTGTAATCGAGAAATTATCAATGAAAAGAAGTATAAAGCAGTATTTTATTGATGCACAAAAATATAGGACAATTGTAAGATTATGAAAATGAAGACCTTAAAAGTGTTTTATTAACTACCATGAAGATTTAATTAAATTTAGCCAAACCAGACAACGTGCCGTTTTTTATCTTGCCTATGAAATGATATTCCTGCTGGACAACGACCACTGCAACTTTTACAGTTGTACGCAGAACAATTCACCACGTTTATATCACACAGTTTTGCACACACAAACTTTATCAATAATGAAGAAATGTCAATAAATTCACACTGGCACTGCGCTTTGTCTGCCACCGAAAATATGGCGGTCGTCTCGAAATTCGCGTCAAATTCACGCATGCCATGGATGCGGTATTACGGGTCCCCTCTCTTTCCTTGTCTAAGGTAATAATGCAATGAAAGTAGGGTTAGGTGTTTAATAATTTTTATTGCCTAATTGTAGATTATGTGATATGTGGCAACACTGGACTTTATTGCACGCCAAACAGGCGTAGTCTTTTACCCCAAGAGGCGGGGCACAAGCGCTGCGCGCGTAGATTGGCGCAAACCGCTCCCGCCAAGAGAGTTGTGCACTGTGCAGATAGTAAGCTGTGCCATTTCACTTTGCACCTGCTGAAGGAAACGGACGCTATACTTTCGCTTAGTTTATCGTTTGTATTCTGCTTTTTTCAAAGCAATCATGGCGTGTCAGAGCTGCTTTAATACACTTCTTTCTTTTTCAGATTTGTGTCACCGCGAACGGGACCTTATTTCTTTTTTGCAGGATCATCTGGTGCTTCCCGGAACCGTCGCCTGCCCCAAGTGCAAGAAGGATTGCTACCTTGCACGAGAAGACACCCGACTACGTTTTAGATGCCAGCGTCAGGTGAAAGTACCGAAAACTAGGAAGACTAAAAAGTGCCCCTTCTCTGTTACAGCAAAGAAGGGGACCTTCTTCGAAGGATCTCATCTGGACGTCCCAACCGTGTGTCGATTCGTTGCGTGCTGGCTCATGGTTCACTATCCGAAGAAGAGGTTTATCATGGAAGAGCTGCAAGTTTCGTCCAGGACCTTCGTCGACTGGAGCAGTTTATGTCGAGAGGTATGTATGGATTATTTAACACGTCGTTCTGTTCTTTTAGGTGGAGAAGGAGTCACCGTTGAGATCGACGAAGCGAAGATCGGCAAGAGGAAGTGCAACCGTGGGAGAAGAATCGAGGGCCAGTGGATCTTCGGAGGGTACGAGCGAGGTTCGGGCAACGTTTTCATCGTTCCAGTTCCAGATCGAACCACGGATACCTTGCTTGAGCTTATACGAGAGCACATACGACCCGGTACGTAGCAGACTAGTGCGATGCTTATTTTAACCTTTACATTTTTAGGCACCACAATCATTTCCGATTGTTTGCGCTTTTACCAGTGTTTAGGTACCGAAGGATTCCGTCACCTCACCGTTAACCACAACTTGACCTTCGTGGATCCCGACACAGGCGCTCACACCCAAAACATCGAGAGGCTGTGGAGAGACGTGCGAGGAGGAATTCCACGATATGGTCGCAAGGAGGCGCATATGTCAGGGTATCTTGCGGAATTCTTGTTTAAGCGTGCAGTTCCTCGGACTCACCTTATTCATGAATTCATGCGAGCTGCTGCCGACCTCTATCCACCTTCCCCTGTGCCTATCGGAGAAGATCCCGAGGAACCAGTGGCAGGACCGAGCAGTGCGCCGTGATTTCATGTTATCGTCAAATTGTAAAGTTAATACTCTTCAGTTTAATCGCCTATTAATTAACACTCATTCTTTACAGGTGCCTTTTTCCGTTTTCACTTGCCACATTGTTGTAAACCCATTTTACCAATCCTTATTTTACCGAAATTTCCACATCCTTCCCGACAAGGACGGGTTGACACCTCCTCGTGGTCCTTGTTGGACGGCTGTTCAGTCGACAAAGGAAACCCATTTCCTTAATGACATGTATGTTTATCATGTATTGTTATTTAATAAAATAATTGTGGTTACTTAAATGTATATTTATTACACACCTTACTTAGCCAAATTAGCATAGATATTAGATAGTATATAAATTTGAAAAATGAACGCATACGCCACCTATTGCACAATAGCCAAAGTTTTTTACTGCTACCACGATATTTCCAATCTTATTTTTTTTTTAAATGGGCCATTTCCCACTTTTACTTTTACACTTTCTGACAATTTTTTTCGAAAAAACCGCTCCCCCACCAGATTATAACAAGTCTCTGTACCTCACGGATACGAAATCGGTACATACAAACATGGATGGAGCGATGCAGTTCTGATTCAAGACTACGTACTTTTGTACTGAATCTCTCTTGTCGACATATATATGTCGTAGTCTTTTAGTGAAATCCGTCATTTCACGAAACGCCTAGTCCGAGGCCTAGTCATTTAGTGAAACGCTGAAAATTTGTACGTGTGGGATAATTTCCCTTCCCCTTCTAGATCGATAAGGATACCATTTATCGATTTCCAATGGGAACGGAATCCAATCGCTTGGCCCTGGAAAGTACACTGTGCCACAGTTTCATATAAATGACTAGGCGTTTCGTGAAATGACGGATTTCACTAAAAGACTACGTATCGTATTTATATGTTGTCCTTACAATCGCCAAGCTTGCGCACATGATCTTTGGTAGGTACAGCTTGGAGCTACTGTTTCACTCAAATGGAAAGCAGTAACTGAGTGCCACCAATGGTGCAAGGTTGGTAACATTTGTGTTGGCAACCACGGTGACTAAATCAACTAACCAACCAGAACCACAGTCTGTTTCTGTTGTAAAATCAGCAAATCTTGATTTTACCCTCAAAATTATTTTTCCAAAATGGTTTTGGAAGAAATTAATGAAAACATTCCGGACGAAACTCCAAAAGAAGCAAAAAAAGATGTCACCAAACCGTTCACCCTAGAATGTATCCTTAAATTTAATCTAACCTAACTTCTTACATTTACAGCTGTTAACGAGAAAGAGCAATTTCCTTAACGTAATCAGTAATTAACGTAATTAGAAACGTACAGCAGCAACATGGCCTGCGACACGGTGATTTCCAACGATACAGAGGATATTGTACGAGGCGTATTAGCAGATTACGCAAGGTATTAAAAATTCCTCAGGGCGATCGGAGGCATTACAAGAAGAGGCCAGTAACAGACGAGCATGTGAGCAATCCTGTATTAGACGAAAGGCTTCTACATATTCCGCTGATGTTGGCGGAAAGAAGTTGGGCGTATGCAATGCAATTACGTCAAGAATCTAATACTGAGCAACGTAAAAAGTTTCATATGATCAGAAAGTTGCGGAAAGCCTGTTTTTATGCTTCACAACTGGAAGAGCTGTGCAAGGTAACTATCGTGTAATTGTACTCGCTGATGATTAAGTAAACGGTTTTTAGTCCGACCGCTGTGATGCCAGATCGAAATTAGAAGCACAAGCGTATGTCGCTTGGATACAGGGGAACTTATACTTTGAATTGCAAGTGTGGTCAACTGCTGCGGAAAACCTGAAGAAGGCTCAGTTGGTGTATGAGAAACTCGCTTCGGCTTTACCAGAGGAGCACCAGGTGCCATACAGACAGCGCATCGACGAACTGACGCCTAGCCTGCGTTATTGCGCTTATAACGTAGGAGAGCAACAGGGGATCAATTTACCAGAGTTGCGAACTTTAGGTATCTTGGACAATTTTGACAAGTTTTTGCTGCAATCGACGGAAAAAACCGCGACAATCTTACACGAGGTCGATTGGTACGATATTAAAGTGCCGGTTCGCATAGAAAAGGTGCAGTTATTCTTGCAGACCTTGACCGGTTTTGATAGTTCGCTGCTTAAGGCGGACAGTGACGCGAAAAGAATTGAAATTTTAGAAAATATGTTCATCGACTTGCGCGATGTTATCGCCGCCACTCGCGAGGCTCCTGAAGATAAGGATGTACAATTACTATTGGCGTATTTAATTTCGATTCGTATAGAACGTACGATCCAACGAAATATGTACTTGATAAAGCAAAGTCGGAAACCGCAAGATATCGTTCGTCTGCTGGATATTACAAATCAGCAGTTAAATGAACTTGCGCAATTGGAACCGTTGCAGAATAAGCAGGATGTGCAGGCGAACTTTTCCCAGCAGCTACTGGCTCTACGGGCGATTAGATGTTTTTATCTGGGAAAGTCGCATTTTGCTTTGCATCGTTGGGTCGAGGCTATGAGTTGCTATGAACGTTCTTTAAGTTATGCACAAGAAGCGAGTCAAAATAAATTACCGAGTGATTTGTCGGAAATGGTCGCAACGGTGATTGAAGAGGTCCCATCTGAAATTGTGTACGTGCAAGCCCAATCCATTATGGAAGAAGAACAGTCGGAACCGACCGCTCTGCAGAGTAAGAGTAAGATTAACAAGGTTCCACTAATCGAGCGTTTGGACGAATTCCACGAGAATCCGCAGTATCTAACGAAGAATCCGAATATTGTCACAATGCCACCTGCTATGGAACCGGTACCGGCTAAGCCTCTGTTTTACGATCTTGCACTTAACTTTGTCCACTTTCCCGCGCTTCCTGAGAAGACAGACGAAGGGAGCGCAGGAAAACACAAGGGTACTGGCATATCCGGTTTTGTTAAAGGATTTTGGGGCGGTTGGGGGGGTTCTGGAAAAAAGTAAATTTTGCCAATATGGGGAACTTTTGGATTGCAAATATTTGTGTTTAATATAAAAGTTTTGTTCAAATCTGCCCAGCATTGTTTAGAAACAACATTTTTTTTCTACTGTTTTATATTACACAGATTGATTTTAATTATTGAAGAATTATAGTTTATTCTGTTTTGTAATTTGTTTCTCTGTATTCCCAGAACATTCATTTGTTAGTGGACACCTAAATGGGTGGGTCCTAGCATTGTGTGTGAGCTCAATGATAACAAGTTAAAAAGTAATCTGTAAACGATTTACAGAAAGTGCATTTCCACTTGCATTCATTTCCCATTTGTAAGTTGCAACTTCTGTTAAAATCGTAAAAATCCGGCCACAAATATGAAAGATGGCGTTGCACATGTGCAATCCATTTTTGACATCCTACTTCAATTTCTGTGTATAAAGGCCAATTCAGAGTTCCGTAACTGTAAGCGGTAAGAGGTAACGATAAGAAATAAGAAAAATAAACATTTAAATTATAATGGTGACATTCAGAGTTTTTCCGTAAGATGTAAGACGTAAGTAGTAAGAGGTAAGAAATGGATTATTTCATTTCATACCTTATCTCTTACGGAATCATGTTTTGTTTATTAATATGAGAATGTATTCGACCGTTAAACATTTGTGTTGAAGGTGTATTAACACTAGAAGCGCTATGATTATGATGTCACTATCCATATTCGTTTACCTACGTCTATGAAAAGCAAAATAACCTTTGGTACTACAATCTCATACGTCAGTTTGGCAACATATGACGCAAACGGTCTTTCCTTACCTCTTACGGATTTACGTTACCGCTTATTTCGTACCTCATACCGTTACGGAACTCTGAATCGGCCTTAAGAAGAATTTCATTTCAATGCTTTTCTAAATAAGAAAGTTGGAACTGCGCATGCGCAAATCTAAATTTTGAAACTAACGAGGTCTTATTCTGTGGTTAGATTTTCCTTTGTTCCATGCGCCTATGTATCAGATTTCATTTAAATGCTTCCATAGATTAAAAAAAGTTGGCACTGCGCATGCGCAAAATAAAATTTTGAAACTGGCGTTACATTTTCCTTTATTCCAAGCGCCTATGCATCAAATTTCGTTTAAATTCTTCCATAAATAAAAAAGTTGGCGTTAGATTTTCATTTATTCCAAGTGCCTATGTATCAAATTTCATTCAAATACTTTTATAAATAAAAAAGTTTGCAATTCTGTTTATAAATGGTCGAGATGCGAAAAGGGCACTGTGAATTTTGAATGGATTCGACTCAACTTTTGGCATTGCGTATTATATGGCTAAAGCTATGCCCATTTTTATTGAATTTCTTGCAATTCAGTTCATACTAACGGAGATGTCAAAGCAATCGGACATTTCTAACCAAAGTTATCGTTCACACGGACAGATAGAGGGACAGACAGACAAAGGAACAGACGGACAGACCCAAGGTTAGTAGAGAGAGTAGGTTGCCTCGTAACTTTAGAGAGACGCGTCATCGAGAATCCGGAAGTCCCATTTGATTGGTGTTTAAATTTTCGTTGACTTTGACAGTTATATTTGAACTGTGTAAGTACTTAATTGTCAGACAGTGCTGAAGAATCTATTACGAATACTTATTATAATTCAATTGAATACTTACTGTTACTTAGGTTAGGATACTAGATGCCGGATGGAAATCTTTGTGACGTTGTTATATGCAATAGCAGCTCCAACAAATCGAAAGCAAATGGATCGCAGATTCAGTTTTTTGCTTTTCCAAAAGGTGTATTACAAAAATAATGGGTTAAAAAGTGCAATGGAAAGGGGAACCTGAACCCCGTATGCAATAGACTGTGCAGTCTGCATTCCCGGCCGAAGACTATGAAGATGAAATGTAAACTGTTTTGAATAAAGTGCGTTTAATATTTCGCTTTCATATTTCTTTCTATGCAATGCACATGCATGTAAAGTACCATTTCGATCCATTTTGCATTTTGCTCTTTCTCTGTTGTAATTAATTTTTATGAGTGGATAAAATGCTTAGACCATATAGTACATGGACTGCTAATTGTAACTAAAAGATGGTCAAGGACATCGCCTGGGTATGTGAGTTTCAGGGTAAACGAGTCTGTCCGAAGTTGTCCGATGAGACACGATTTGAGACTGTCAACCTATAAATTAACAAACGTCAATTAATTAATCGCCTAGATATCCCAAAAAAAGCAAACTTATTCTTTTTGTGGACGTATAGCAAATAATGAAGAGCACTTAAAGCTTCCCGTACTACGCGGTTACTATAAAGCTGCTCTTTAAGCGATCCTAGTGGTGTTTACACGACTTTAGTTTACCCTGAGATTCACATACCCACGACTACAGTGCCCTCTATCCGTGACCATCCATTTTGTATTGAAAGCATAGGGCGAATAGCAGTCCATGTACTATATGGTCTAAGATAAAATGGGATTCCGGGTGACGTCATTCGCGTATTTTAATACTGAACGTTTATTGGCTGAAAGTTACGAGGCAACCTACTTTCTCTATTAACCTTGGGACAGACCAACAACAGCAATACAAAATTATAAACGATCTCTAGGATCGTTAATATAAACGGCAAAAATGTAAAAGTATGGAACATGTAAAAAACGGTTTTTTGTTTTTTTTACAATAACTTTTAGCAATAAACGCAGAAAAAATTCCTTCTTTGGTGCAAGCCTCGACACCATAACGAACCAAATAGCGAAAAAAGTAGAACAATAGCTCTGAAGATAAAAGACTAGTAAGAGTAGCGTCTCAACGAACGAGCGGACGGACGAACGGGCAAAGTTGTGTAAAAATGATATTGTGTATTATCATATTTGTTTTTCTTTCGTATGAATGTATTGGCCACAGATAAAACACCCAATTATCTGTGGTATTGCTGTAGCTATGGTACGATTTGGTTTCGTTCTCGTTAATTTTTTTTCCTATGTTGCCCTCTATCTATCCATACTCCTAGTATTTAAATGTTTCTATTTGTTCTGCATGTTCTTGGTTTAACTTTATTTTCTTGATTTCTTGTCCTACTTGCCTTATTCTTTGATAATAATGATAATATATATACCGGGTGATCGAAAAATAGTGCGGACAGTTCGAATTTGGCGCTTTAATTTTTTAGGGTTTTTTACTTAAGGAATTGGCGAACATGTTTAGAAAGTGGTTTATTTATGCATTAATTGCTATCCATTGGCGTCCTTTCTTTATGTGAATTTTATATTCTTATCATTGAATTTATAACTATCAAATTCAATGTTCTTATCTTCGTACTGCGATCCCACGCGGTCCGTATACTAAACGGTTGCCTCAGGCACTGCAGTTTGCGGGTGCGGAGAGAGAGGGGAACTTCCCACGTGTGCCGTACTCTCGCCTGCCGTAGAATTTTCTGACGTTTTTGTATGCTTGACGTATGCTTGACGTTTGTACCACGGCCATCGTGCAAAGGTGTATTGTATGCGTCTCTCGCCCTCATATGCTGCATTTCTTATTAATATGTTAATTTTCTTTCAAGGTATTGAATTATTGGTTACCTATAAGTCTAAATTAAACTGGAACCGTGCCGTGTGTGCCCGCGAAACTTATGCTTCATTAAGACTGGAATGGATCAACAAATGCTTCAGGAAATACAAGTTCAATCCTCCGCGTATTTGCACTTTTTACCAATGAATGACACTCCATTGGAAATTAGATACCTACATCTGGTAAAAAAGAGTTAGGACAAGGGAACGCAAGCGATTAGTAGAAGAAGAGAGAAGATTTCTTCAGGATCCAAATGACGTAACCAGTAACCACTCCATGAACACCTGAATTTTCAACACCAGAGCTATGTGTTTAAGATGTAAGGTGTACTTGTATAGGTACAGGGACAAGCAAGACATTAGAGCTAAATAATTTAATAATTTTATATATCAAGATAATTATGCATGTAATACTAAATTATAAACCTTTCCGGTTTTACAATTACACTTTTACGCAGAATAAGATCTCCCTGGAATAACTGCCATAGCAACATGTACGTCATTGGTTGACATAATTGTAACCAAACGCAACCGTCGACATTTTATTCTATTTTAGGTAGGTATAGCTTATTCTCGGTATATACCTACATTGTAGAATCGGCCCTATAAACGTATAGCAAATGCCGACGATCGTACGTAATACGTATATGTATACCGGCCACTGTGGAAATGCCAAAAAAATAAACTACCTACTCATGATTGTTTCTTAAAATATCATTACAATAACAAACACAAATATGCAAAAATTAACTCTTTTTGCTATTAGAATTATCACCAAATGCATATACTTAGTACATGAGAATTGTGTGGTGGGCGGTGCTCACTGCGGACTGAAGTACGTCACAAGTGGCAGCGCGTTTTATTGGTTGTTTGGAAGCGAGGCAACCGTTTAGTATAAATATCGTGTTGCGATCCATGCGTTTTAAAGCAAACAGTTCTTTTTAAAGGTCTTTGCACGTGCAACATTTCGTAAAAGTACGTACATTAAGAGAAAATAAGGATCATGTAACCTTACTTTTTAGGTTTAAAGGGGCCTCGTACTTCAATATTTCCTCGCCAGTATAATGTGTCATTTTCCTGACCTTTATGTAAATGGCTATTAGGTTATGATGAAGAGATATTCAATTCGGTCGCTATTTCCCTTAAGTTTCTTATGGGATTCTCTTCCACAAAAATCAAAACATCAAATAGGCTGCTCTATGCATATGCGAGAGACTAGGACAGAGATCCCCTTGTGGCCTTCTCTCTCGCGTTCCAGTATAATTATAGTTCAGTGGTTTCATATTCTCCGTTACAATTGAAGGTTGTTTACAGTGTCTTATCTGGATCGCATTTAAATAACCACTAATTTTAAAGTGATCAACACATAAAATAAGTCTCCTACGCTTCTTAAAATACCAATGGACAGTAGGTATATCAACATTTTCTTCAGTTGAATTTTACACACGAACGAAAATAAAAATATGGAAGCCACAGCAATAATATTCCAATTAATTAATATGACTGCAAAAACTTCATTTGTTTTAAGAAGTTATTTTAGTTGCATAAGATTAGGCGTCCTTCAGAAGAGTTTTTGTCATTTAAAACTAGACATAGGACATCCCTAGTCCCTACCGTCTACTTC